AATAACATGAACATAATAATAAAATACACTTTATAAAATAACTCATATTTCACTAATTAAAATAATAATTATAAATCAAGCTTTATAATAAGATAGAACTCATATAGACAATTAAATAATATCAAAATCTTTTAATGAACACATACTTCAAATTATCATAAAAATTATCAACATATATGAACAATTATTTTGAAAATTTTCATAAAGGTACAATGATAAAAACCTAATCAATTAATTCAATAGGAATAGAAAGCCAAGTTTAATCAAGTTTGCTAAGAAGAAGACCTATAATATTTATTTTAACATGATATATTACATTTGTTATTTAATAATTGATGTCATATGTCACATACAACATTTGTTGTGAAAATCCTATGGAAAATTTGACATTATTTTTAATAGGAATAGAAAGCCAACTTTAATCAAGTTTGTTAAGAAGAAGACATACAATATTTTAACATGATATATTACATTGGTTATTTAATAACTAATGGTGTATGTCACATACAACATCTGTTATGAAAATAGTACATAAAAGTTGGCATTATTTTCAAAAATGTCATTGTCAGCTATTACATTGGTCGCAACACAACTGATGTAATATCCAGATGTTATATTATATTTTTTTCACTAGTATGTCAAAGAAGTTTGAATGTGTAAGAGTAGATAAAGAGACTCAAATATGTTGGAGACCATGGCTAACCTTGAGAAAAGGTAAAAAGTGACAATTGCCTAGGACTTAGAATTAGGAGGGGTCCAAATTTTTTTAAAAAACTTATATAATAACTTGATAACTTTTTTTTTTATCTTTACTCATGTTATTTTAATAAATATTCTCTTTCATCTCTTTGGAATGCATGTGTGCATGCTTGTGTGTATGTTGGTGTCTATGTATATGTTTGTGTATATTTTTGTGTCTCTCTATGTCTATGTTTGTGTGTATGTATATGTGTCTATATTTATATTTCTCTGTATGTGTATATTTGTATTTGTATGAGTTTTTTTTTTCTTAACTGCCATATTTAAAAATTCTTATTTATTATAGATTATACTTGTAATTATATAAAAATAAATATTTATCTTATTAAATACTCATGCTAAGTTAAAATTAAAAGTTAGTATATTAATAAACAATAAAAACACCTTTAAAATTATAACACAAATAAAATAATATTTTAATATAAAACGTTTGTGTCTTTATCTGTTTATTAATATACTAACTTTACTTTTAACTTAGCATGTGTATTTAATAAGTAAATATTTATTTTTATATTATTATAAATATAATTCATAAAAAATAAGTATTTTTAAATATGGGAATTAAGAAAAAAATACTTCAAAAGTTATAATACAAATAAAATAATATTTTAATATAAAAAATTTGTACTTGTGTCTATATGTGTCTATTTATGTCTGGTGTGTGTGCGCGCGCGCGTGTGAGTATATTTTTATATGTTTCTTTTTTAACTATTATATTTAAAAATTTTAAAATAGTTGTTTATTTTGAATTATTTATAATCAACTCCTATATATCATATATGATCGAATGACTATCTTGTATGAAAATGTATTGAGAGATCTTTTTAGTTTTCTATCTAATTTAATTTTTTATTTATCATATTTATTTATGAATTAAATTTTAATATTTTTAAAATAAATTATCATCAATTAAAAATAATATCCTTTTGATAAATATAAAAAATATTAGTAAAATATATATTCATTTATCTTAAAAAAATATAAGTCATATGTTTAAAAATATTTATTTATAATTTTTAAATATAATTTATATATTAAAATATAGTATTTATTTATATATGATTTATTATAAATTTTAGTTACATATAATAAATATTTAAGATGTGAAACACACAAACTAAAATACTAACTATATAAAAATAAATATTTGTCTTATTAATTAAATACGCATGTTAAATTAAAAAACTAAAAGTTAGTATATCATTAAACAAACAAAAAAGCTTCAAAATTATAATACAAATAAACCTAAATTAAATCTCTAAACAAGAGCATAATTAAAGATGTGGGTCAATTATAAGGTCCACAAAAGTACATTAAAATCTCAATTTATAATTTTAGCAATGGAGTAAAATCTAGTTAGAGCTTTTAAAAAGCAAGTTAAGCTCTCATGTAAGAAACCAAACATGAAAGATGTTCTATTAATTGAATAGTTATCATGGTACCATCATCATAAACACAAGAGTAGGCTATATTAACTAGTCCTAGAACACCCCCTTCAAGTAAAAGTTCCTACCTCAGATTTAGCTAAATTAGAATTCCAAATTAGATGAGCAATAAATCTTGCATTATAGGATATCATATAACATCCCTGAAATTTCTTTTGCCAAACTAATTGGATAAGGTTCCTTTAAGTCAACAGTAAATTAAATATAATCCTCTACTGATCTACCCAATATTTCATTGACTCCCACTCATTAATACACCTTTTTTTCTTAAACATGTACCAACTTTAGCATCATTATTATTATAAAAAAAAAAATTATATTACACGGTTGAAAATTCTGTAAAAAGAATGCCATCCTTAATTATTTCTTGAACTGGAGGATCTCGGTCCCCAGTGAACATAGTACGAATTTCGCACTCTATCCTTTACTCCAAGCAAAAGGACATGTCAAACAATATTTAATATATAAGGACACGTGTCACGTTGCAATTTGTTTTGAGGGGTGCATGATTAGTTGTTGTGTGTGTTACTATGCTCAAGGGAATGTGGACGCACTCTCATCCACATTCACAGTTGTGTCACAATAGATTCCTTGTATATATTATCCTCCTAATTCCTTGGTTTATTTTTATGAGACTAGACCCCCTTCACTTTTAATCTCTCTCTTCCTCATCATAAACTCATAAGGTGCATGTGTACCTAAATTCAGGAGAAACAAGCTAAAAGTTTGTTGTGTGATAAAAGATGGAAGGAAGTGTGATCAAGAAGAGTTCAAAGGGAAAGAGAGATG